TTTTCACTTGTCAGGGGCACCCCCTTTTCTAAAAGTATGTTAAGGCTTCCAGTCTCTTCATGTCATTGATTACTAAAAGAAACTACTATTAATTTATTATTAGCTAGTTTAATTAATAAATTGATTATTAATTGCCCACAAAGTCTGTCAGGCTTTTCATTTGTCTCAGGTTCCACCTCATACCCATCAGTCAGGCAAAGACGACAACAAAGAAAAACAATTCATGGCAGGTAGGTGGCACAGTGGATAGAGTACTGGCCTTGGAGTCAGGAGGACCTGAGTTCAAATGTGGCCTCAGACACTTACATTTACTAGCTGTGTGACCCTGGGCAAGTCACTTAACCTCATTGTCTAGCCCCCCCAAAAAAGGAAAACAATTGTTGTCAGGGATGTGAAAAAATAAGCACATTAATGAATTATTGTTGGTGTTGAGGATCGATTCAGGATTCTGGAAAGCAATTTGGAATTATGCCTCAAAAGTTACTAAATTATGAATAGCTTGACTCAGTGATACCATTCCTAAATATGAAAGAGATCAAAGAGGAAAAGCATCACTGTGTATAAAATTTTGTTTAAAGCAGCCCACTTTGTTATTATAGCAAAAAACTAGAAAGTGAAGGGGTTTTTATCAATTGGGAAACGGCTGAACAAATTATGGTATATGAATGTAATGGAATAACACTCCACTATAAGAAATGACAAAAGGAACAATTTTAAAGAAGCCTGGGGAAGCTTATATGAACTGATTCAGAGTGAAGTGAGCAAAACCTGAAGAGCAATTTATTCAATAACATTATAAAGATAAACAATTTAAAAAATTTTTTTAATTAATTTTTCATTTTCAACATTCACTTCCACAAGATTGAGTTCCAAATTTTCTCCCCATTTCTCCCCTCCCCCCACCCCATGACAGTGTGCATTCTGAATACCCCTTCCCCCAATCTGCCCTCCCTTCTATCACCATCCCCCTCCTTATCCCCTTCCCCTTCTATTTTCCTGTAGAGCAGGATAGATTTCTATATCCCTTTGCCTGTATATCTTATTTCCCAGTTGCATGCAAAAACAACTTTTAACATTCATTTTTAAAACTCTGAGCTCCAAATTCTCTCCCTTCCTCCCTCCCCATTGAGAATGTGAACAATTCGATATAGGTTATACATGAGTAGTCATGCAAAACACTTCCATAACAGTCATGTTGTGAAAGACTAACTATATTTCCCTCCATCACATCCCACCCATTCTATGCTCTCCTTTGACCCTGTCCCTCTTCAAAAGTGTTTGCCTTTCATTACCCCCTCCCCCAATCTGCCCTCCCTTCTACCATCCCCCCTCTCTTATCCTCTTCCCCCCTATTTTCCTGTAGGATAAGATAGATTTCCATACCCAACTGAATGTGTATGTTATTCCCTTCTTAAGCCAAATCCGATAAGAGTAAGGTTCACTCATTCTCTCTTGTTGCCAGCCATCAAGAAGGACACTGGATGGGAGAGCGAGAAATAATGAAACGTGGGCCAGGCGGGTCAGTGGAAGACTGAGCCAGTTTATTCATCTGAGGGTACAACATACATAGAAAAAACCTAATATAACTTCAAAGAGTCATCCCCGTGAGACACTCCCCAAACACCTTCTGTGTATGTGACATTACAACAGATATTTCCTTGTTATCAGGGCTTATAGCTAGGGTAGCATATTCCAAGGCCTTCCCTGGTACCACCTGCATGGAGGAAAGATGTATAAATCTAAGGTATCAACAATTATTTTTCTCATGGGAACAGTAATCAGGGCAGTCCCCCCCCGAACCATTTCCTCGCCTCCTGTAATCTTCAAGGTCCTTCTGTTCTCAAGAGAGACAGAGCAAGGGGGGTTGGAGAGCCCACATTCCTGACTTAGGCAGCCATCGATACAGGAAATCTGCAGGTAAAACCTAAGCTGGCCTGAATCCTGTGGCTCGTCAGAACCAGCCTTCAACAACCCCCCCCCTTTTTTTCTGTGCTAACTTAAGATAATGAAGGGATACATGAATCTCACCTAAGATGTAGTGAGCATATCTTTAAAAAAATAGGGAAGGAGGAAACATGAAACCAATTCAAAACACAGCCAAGGTGGAAAATGCAATAGCAAACTTAATACATTTTTAAAAGGATTAAGTTGATCTATCCAATCTAACAATTTGTTTGCAATATCTTCAGGGTCAATACCATCAATATGAGAATCAGTGATTTCATGTTGTATTTTGGGTAATTGGTTAATTTCCCATGTAATATTTTGAGAGTGCCATGCACCCTAGAGCTTATTTAATATTTGTTCAACGGTTACATTAACATTAGTGAAATCTGAATACCATATGGAGTTACACAAATAAAAGAATAGTGATAATCACATTTCAAATTGAAGCGCGTTTCTAACTGTTATATATGTGCGTTTCATTATTTTGCACTCTTCCATCCGGTGTCCTGCTTGATTGCTGGCAACACTCTCTCACCTCCTTTTTCTTCCCCTCCACTGTAAAAGCTTTTTCTTGCCTCTTTTATGTGAGATAATTTACCCCATTCTACCTCTCCCTTTCTCCTTCTCCCAGTACAATCCTCTCTCACCCCTGGAATTTTATTTTTTAGATATCATCCCTTCATTTCCAACTCACCCTGTGCCCTCTGTCTATATCTATATATAGATATACATAGATATCTATATCTATATCTATATACCTATAGATATAGATATAGATATATTTTCCCTCCAACTACCCTAATACTGAGAAAGGTCTCATGAGTTACAAATAAAAGATAAACAATTTTAAAAGACTTAAAAGAACTCTGGTCAATGCAATGACCAACCAAAATTTCACAGATCTATAACGGAACATCCTATCTACCTCCTGACAGGAAGTAATGGACACAGTGAAAAATGAGACACATATTCTGGATGCGGTCAATTTGATAATTTGTTGTTTGATTATGTATACTGGCTACAAGGGTTGTTTTTCTTTAATTCCCCTGTGGAGCTGTGGCAGTGGAGGAAGAGGATAAAATTGATTTTTGCTCACAAATAATATATAATTAATTTTTTTAATGAATTTATTCTCGAGTAATAAAACCATCAAAATTTCAAGAGTCTCAATCAGTCAACAAGCACTTTACGAAGTGTCTACAATTTGTTCATATGTATACATATATATGTACATGTATGTACATACATAAACACACACACACCCATAGTGCAGTGGATAGAGTACCGGGTCTCGAATTAGGAAAGCCTGATTTCAAATCTGAGTTGGGACTACTAGCTGTGTGAACCTGGGTAAAACACATAACCTCAGTTTGATTTAGTTTCCTCAACTGTAGAATGGGGATAATAAAAGCACCACTCTCATAGAGCTTTTGTCTGGATTAAATAAAATATTTGTAAAAAGCAATTACCACTGTATCTGGCACATAGTAGGTGCGATACAAATGATCCCTTATATGCAAAATGAATACAAGATAATTTTGGAAGAGAGCACTAGCAGCTATAGGATACGTGAGAACAAGAAAGGTTTCACATATAAGGTAGTGCTTGAATTATAAGGAAACCAAGGATTCCAAGAGACAAAGGTGAGAAGAGCATTCTACTTATGGGAGATATCCAATACAAAGGCCAATAATGGACACAAAGCGTTGACTATGATGAAAAGCAAGGAAGCTAATATGGGTCATATGTACTGTTTATGGAGGGGAATAATGCACAGGAAGACTCAACCACATTGGGAAAGGTTTTGAGTGCCCAGAAAAGAAATTTGCTTTTGATCCTAGAGGTAATAGGGAGCCATCTGGAGTTTACTAAGGGGTGACAAGGTCAGACCTGTGTTTTAGAAAAATCCATTGCTGGGCTGTGTAGAGAATGAATTGCAGTGGACATAAACTTGAGGTATAGAGACTATGTGGGAGGCTAGTGTAATTGTTCAGGCAAGCGGTGACTAGAGGCTGATCTAAGGTGGTGGCAATGTGAGGGCAAAGGAGATGTACATGGGAGATGCTGTGGAGACAGAAAACACAAGATCTTGTGAATGAATGGCTATCTGGGAGGAATGAAGGCATTATCCTTTGAAGCTTAAGTAAAAGGCCTTTAAAAGGGAAATCAAATCCAAACAATCCCATCAATTACAGCCAAGGTTATTAAACTACTCTTAACATAGGACCTTATTTACAACAGAATTTAACACACCCAGAAACTTCTTTCTGGTGTACCAATTATGTATAAGGGCTTATAAATCAAAACTATTCATGAATTTAAGAAACAGAAGACCCCAGAATTTAATACAACACAAACATCACATCAAACTAAAAATACATCACAGGCTTACTACCTAAGTTTTCATATAATTCTATTATTAAAACAAGAAAAATATTACTAAGTTAAACATTTAAAAAGACAGGCACAGACCACAGTCTTTACTGCTAAGATGCATTTACTGACTTATATTTATTATTCCTTATATAAACATTTTTAATCATTACCATGCCAAAATTTAGTCACTCACTTATCCAAAACAATTAAGTTAATTTGCCCAGTTTACTAGACACCAAGAGATAGCTGTTTCTCTACAATGTACTACAATGCTACAATGTAGCTAAATTAATTTAATCATGCCTTCTTGAAATGCACTTTGGAGCTATACCTTCTAACCATCTGTTAGGCATAGGTAAAACCAAATTTCTCCAGCTACTTACAGTTTAACTCTACATTCAAGGCAAATTTATCAGGTCAGACCTTTTGAGTCTTTAAGAACTTAGTATCGGGGGCAGCTAGGTGGCGCAGTGGATAGAGCACTGGGCCTGGAGTCAGGAAGACCTGAGTTCAAATCCTGCCTCAGACAAGACACCTGACACTTATTAGCTGTGTGACTCTGGGTAAGTCACTTAATCCCAACTGCCTCACCGCCCCCCCAAAAGAACTCAGTATCAGAATAATTATGTCTACTTAATAGCTTCCACTATGCACACACAAAGACAATTTGGTCTTACATCTTTTGAAGCACCTGGGCCATCACAACCCCATTCGTTAAATCTTCCACAGTCTGGCATGGTGCTTCCACATTAAATGTCTGGATCTGCATATGAGAAAAGAAATAATTGTACTGTTTAATGGTCAAGCAATAACATTGGTTAAAGTAATTCTTCAGGCCAAAATTAAAATTAGCTTTCAAGGTACATACTGTATGCTTTATAGCTAAAGACTTAATTTCAGGTCATGTCAACAATAATAACTAACCAAAAATGTTTCCGTTAAACTTGAAAGGAATCGATATAAATTTGTAACACAACATAAAATTAACACTATAAAAGATAAAATTTATCTTAGAAATGCAAGTAAGTGGGTGATACCCCCTAGGGTCAGTTTCAAAGTCAGACTTTATCTAATATTAATATTAGCTGGCTAATGCAATCAGACAGCGTTTGGATTTCAATCCAGGCACACACATTATTCCTTTTCTAAGTAACAATTACAAAAACAAGGATACAAAATTTCATTAGTTTTAAATTCAAGGTAGAGGTAAAAGGGCCTAGTAGTCCAGATCTCAAGCTACATTATAAAGGAGTAATAAAAACAATTTGGTTAAAAAAAAATTTCATGGGCAGAACAAATAAGGTACTGAAGACTCAGGGGCAACTGAACATAGTAGTTAAATAATCCCAAGTGTACCAACTATTGGTGTAAAGACTCTACTCAACTAAAATGGTTAAACACAGTCTGGTAGAAAAATATCTAACAGTACATGCTGCAATAAATTCCAAATAAATATGTGACATACCTTTAAAGATCATTTTATAAACTAAGAGAAATTATATACCTATCATAAGTATGGATAAAAGATGAGTTCCTGACCAAATAAACGTTAGAGATAATAAAATTTTAAATGGACAATTACTGCATAAAATTGAAAGTTGTTGCACAAAACCAATGCAGTAATAGTTAACTAGGCAAAAAAAAAAATCTCTCCTTCAGATTTCTCTGATAAAGGACTGATAGTCATCCTCAAGCATTTATGTAGCTGTGTGACTTTAGGCAAGTCACTTTATCTCTAGCAGGCTCAGTTTCTTTATCTGTAAAACTGGGATATTAATAGAGCCTACTCACCTCCCAGGGTTGATGTGAGTGAGAATCAAATGAGATAATATTTGCAAAGCATTCTACAAAATGCTAAAGTACCATATAGTAGTAATTATTATTATCACTATTTCTAAGACACATAGGGAATTGATTCAAATTTATAAGAACAAAGGCCATTTCTCAATTGATAAATTGTCAAAGGATACAGATAGTTCTCAATCCATCAACAACCACATTAAAAAAAATGTTCCAGATGACTAATAATAAGAGGAATGCAAATTAAAACAATGTGAGGTTCCACTTCACACCCATCAGAAACGCAAAGATGACAAAAAAGGAAAATAGCAATATGGAAAAACAGGTAAGATTGTTGGTAGAGATGTGAATTGATATAGCCATTACGAAATGCAATTTGGAACATTACCCCCAAAATTACTGAACTGTGTATATCCTTTGACCCAAGAATACCACTACTAAGCATACATCCCAAAGAGATGAAAGATGGAGCAAAAGAACTATCTGTACAAAAATACTCGTATTAGCCATATTTGTTGTAGCAAAGAACTACAAATAAAGCATGTCCATCAAGTGGAAGAACAGCAGAACAAATTTTGGAATATGAATATAATGAAATATTGTGTCATAATAAAGGATCCTTCTATGTTATAAAGAAGTCCAGAATTTCATATAATACATCTACAAAACACAGAAAATCACATCAAAGCAAAACTATATCACAGACCTATTAAGTTTTCATATGATTCCCTTGTTAACCAAAAAAACCCCAAAAACAAACAACCAAAACACCAACAAAAAAACCTAGGTTAAAATTACAGATTAAGAGAAACTTTTAAGAGACTTGTATGAATCTTACATGAAATCAGAGTGAAGTGAGAAGTTCAAAAATAATTTATGGAATAACAACGACATAGTAAAGACAAACAACTCTGAAAGGCTTCCAGAACTCTAATCAATGCAAGGAACAACCACAACTGCAGTGGACTGATAAGGAAGCATGCTACCCACTTCATCAGAGGTGATTACTTCTTTGCTTGACTATGGCGTATTTGTTACAAGAGTTTTGCTTTTCTTTCTTTTTTTCCAATGTGGAGAGGAGTTGAGAGGAAGACTAAAATAGATTTTTACTAAAGAGATAAATTTTGAAAAATAATTTTAACATATACTTAGAAATAAACTATACACACACACACACACACACACACACACACACACACACACACACAAACACCAGTCATGGTTTTAGAGACAATCTTTTTGTACTCTTTATAGGTTAATGTTTGTAAACTTCATAATAAAAATTTTTGGGAAAAATAAAATGCAAGGCAGAACTAACACTAATATGCCTTTCTCCTACCTCTCCATCAGCTAAAGCAGAGAGACCTGGCACCTTGCTATCAAAGTAGGAAAAAATAGTTTGCAGATAGAAGGGACCTTAAAGTATTAGTTCTGAGAGGATCTAGGTAACTTGCCCGTGAAGATTCTGCGCAGCAGTTGGAATTTCCTCCTGTCATAATAATTTAGAGGCACTTATTAGTAACAGTGGCTTTGGGATGGAGCCTGCAATAATGCTGAGAACACAGACTTGGGGAGAGAAGCTACCAGCTGCAGCCCTGGTTCTGTCACTACTAGCTGTATAACTATCATTTCAACTTTCTGGGCTTCATTTCTCTTTCCTGCAAAATGAGAGGGTTTGATGAAATAATTTATAAGGTAGGTGCTACACGTACTATTGCTTCTACTTTACAGATGAGGAAACAGATTCACCAAAGTGGTTCTGCACACGGCTAGTGTCCAAGGCAACATGTGAATAGAAGTTTAATTCCAATCTCAGTCCTCTCCAACTACAAGTAAAACAGGGCTCCTGACCTCACATAAAGTAAATGTGTATGCAAGAGGCAGCATTATCAGAAATAGGTGTTCTGAGATTTAATAGGAGGATAAAATATAGATGGTATTAAGAATTTACAAGAAGATCCTTTCTGGCCACAGGGTGCAGTGGATAGAGCACTGGTCCTGGAGTCAGGAAAACCTGAGTTCAAATTCCATCTAAGACATTTACTAGCTGTATGACCTCGGGCAAGTCACTTAACCTCTATTTGCACCAATTTCCTCAACTGTAAAATGAGGATAATAATAGCATCAACCTCCCAGGGTTGTTATGAGGATCAAATGAGATAATATTTGTAAAGCACTTATCACATAGTGCTATATGTTAGCTATCATCATTATAATCATCATGATCATCATGATGGAGGTAGTATTTGAGCGGGACCTAAAAGATCCTATAAGATTTGAAAAAGCAGAATGAAGGAATGGAACTGATGGAAGCTACAAAGCATAGCACAGGGTGACTTCAGGGGACACTGAATAGTCCAATTGTGCGAGAACAAATTACAGGCTAGTGAGACACGGCTGGAAAAGACAGGACGAAGCCAAAACGTGCAGGATCATATTCAGGGTCATAGATTTAAAAGCTGGGAGGTAACTTAAAAGAATCTAATCCCCTCCCCTTACATAGCAGAAAACACTGAAGCCAAAAGAGTAAATGACTTGCTTAAGGTTTCAGAGATAGTAAACAGCAGAACTCAGGTGAGAATTACGGTCCCCTGACTTCAAATCCACCTTTTCCTGACTGTCAAGCTAAGGAGTTTACATTTATTCAGGTGATATGGAGCAACAAGATTAGAACTACGATATATCAGAGATGTGTAGGGTGAGCTGGAAGCAAGGGGTGGGGGTAGGAGAGAGAAGACCAGAATCTGAAGACCTTTTGAATTATTTCTTTTTAGACCATATTTGTGAACAATAATGAAGACTACACCAGCCCTGGCAGTGGGAACAAATGATTAAGTCAAGAAATGGATGGGAGAGATATTGCAGTGATAAAGGATATGACATCTGACAAGCTGGGAGGGATATAAAGGAGAGGGAATTCAAGGATAACTCCAAGTTTTTGGCTGTGAACAATTTACCAAGGATGTTGGATAAATGAAATCTTACTATTATTTACTGCAAATCTACCAATTACCAGGCACAAAACACAAATATTTCAATCTTGACCAATCGAAGAAACACTCACGATGACACCTGGTTCTTATCCCATTAGTTCCACTCATTTATTGCCTTGCCTTCTTGAGCTTAAATGCAATATCCAAATAAATGGGACAAGTTCAGCAGGATATGCTTGAAAATGTCAACTCTACAGCCTTCTTCTCCACCCTCTGAGTCAAAAACATAGTCCTGTTTTACAATTTGCCCTGACTATCCAGAATAGTTTGCTTGAGCTTACTCATGAAATTTAACATTCATATGACACATTCTCAGGATTTACAGACACTTTAAAAAAAATATTAATGGCAATAAGAGTTTAGACAGAGGTGGGGAACTTGGCAGCCTCAAGGCTGAGGCTGAAGGTTGCCCACTCCTAGTCTGGACTATCAAAGGACCATAGCAAAAAGCTGAAAGAGAGATTATATAGACTATGGTGACTTTGTTCTTCCAAACTCAGTGTGCATTTAATTAGTTTAGTCTTTCACAAGGCTTAGAGGATAGTCAGCCTTAGGGTCAGAAGACCTGGGTTCAAGACCTATGTCTGAGATATACTAGCTCTGAGACTATGAGTAAGCAGTCACCCTCTCTGTAACCCCAGACAAATCTTCTAGGATACAAATTACAGAAAAGGTGCCAATCTGCATTGTCAAAGGAAGTTTCTATACCGAAGAACTCCCCGTGGAGCTGGAATAATAGTTCTGAACAGAAAAGAAAAAATTCTCATACCCAAAATGAATTTTATAGTAGTCTTGATCACAGGATTGTGAAGGAAGGTATTATTTTTGTGGAAGTTCCCATTCCCTTTTATTATTTGCAAACATTGTGCCTTTATGTCATTCATGTTCTCTAAAAAAAATTACAGAATTACTTAATTCCTCCTAATTCATTAAAAATTACAAGAAAGGTATATTTTTTTAGCCACTGGAA